AAGGATAAAAGGCAAACTTCACTGTTTTGGAAGATATGTAAGTATGACATTTCCTAGAAGTTTAAGAAAGGTCAGCTTAAAACATGCATATAGTTTAAGTCCCCATCCCCATTCCTAACCTGAAAGACAACTTCAGTACCAAGGGATTGGAGTTTGCCATTTTGGGTCAACTGATGATCGCCCCAGACTCATCCATTTTAAACTTAGAAGTTGGCAGGAGATTCATAGATTCACACTCTCCCAGTATGGTTTGGGGAGTCTGTTTAGCCAGCCCCTTTCAAGTTATACTTGACCTTCCTCCCCAAGGTAATCTCCCACAATTCGAAGATGGGAAGCAGGCCTCATACCCCTTGGGAATACTAGGGAATCTTACAATTTCCCAAGGGTTTAGGAAAAGTAGGAAGTAATTGAGTTAGGGGAAGGACTACTGCCTTTATCTGCTTTTCCACAGAATCATTCATTACTTTTTTTTTAAGCAGAAAGCATTCCCATACCCGATGGCCAGTGCCATCATCTCCCAACGCTAACCCATTCCCCATGGACCACATAGAACTTACTATTAAAGTAACAGGTGTGGTTTATATGACTTGATAAGATTAGGACTTCAAATGAAAAATTGGCCTGGGTTAGTTATATCTCAACTAAGGAGATTTTTCCTTTGTTCTCAAGGAATCTCAGCAATGAGATCAGCAACTGGCATTGATTCTGATCCCAGCATTTTTCTCTCCTAATTGTGGTCATCCTCCTCCCCATTCTGAGCATTTGCTGTGGGGGTTGTTAATGGGCTAGTACCTTAGTTTCTTGAGAAAAGGGCACATCAAGGCTTCCTCAGGGTGGCCTTGCAACCAAGGTCAATGGTGCAATTTAGCTGAGAGATTGACCTGGGGAGAAAGGAGAAAGCATTTCCTTGGCAGCTGTGTTAGGCCGGCTTTACTAGAAATTGAGTCTGATACAAAGATTTTTGTTCAATGACTTATGGAGGCTAAGGTCTCAACAGGAGGAATGAAAGGAGCAGGAAGGGGAAGGAATTCACAAACCTGTAGTTTCAGGAAAGGGGCAGCCTCAGCCTGCTCTACTGGGGAGCTCTGGAGTATGGATTGCACCGAGTTATCCCCTCTCCCAGAGGCAGGAGGGTTGGACTGTTAAAACTCCCACAATAGTTTGTCATTGGCTACAGGCTGCCTCTGAGAGTGAGGCTGTTGTGTTCCAGAAATCACCAGGCCAGGCAGCTTCCATCAGTCAAGGACAGTCTTGAGAGAAGGGTGAAGGTTTGAGCCCTTAGGACTCAGCACCTGCAGTGGCTGGAGCCTGGTGCTCTCGACTTGATGAAGGGATGGATCTAGGCAGGTGCCAGCTACACCAGCGATGGCAGCCAAAAGAGTTGGAAATGGAGAGTCAGTGAGCTGATACATCATCTAAGGAGAAACTTATATACAAATTCTCTCTAGTCTAGTCTAGTCTAGTCTAGTCTGGTACACATACCTCAAGGTATGGTACTAACAGGGTATTATATTATTCAATTAGATTGGATTACAAGATAACTTAGAGGGGGACATGGAGGTCATTCAATTCAGCCCCTTCATCTTATAGAAGAGAAGAATTAGGTCAGAGTAAACCCTTATTGGGAATCAGCTCTGATTTTCAGTCTTCTGCTTTTCTTGACTTCAAGCCAACACATATTTATCAAATGCCTACTGTGTGTAAGGCATAGTTTTTGGCACTGAGCAGAAAATTTCAAGACACAAAACTCAGCCTCTGCTTGGGCCTTAGAACTTTACAGTCTGGTAGAAGATACGGGAATGGAAGAAAAAAATAAGAATAGTATACACATCGAAATTTAGATCTCATTCCAAAAGCAGTATGGATTAAGTGCTACGGGAACTTGAAGGCAAAAGTAGACACATGGAAGAATGGTTTGTGCTTGTCTCGATGTGATGGGAGGCTTTCATTCCAAATTTCCCTGTTTTTCAAACTGTGTAAAAATAAAATATCCTGCCAGCTCTTCTATTTAGGCTGAAGAAGATAAGCATGCAAGTAGGGTTCTGGAGAAGGGGGAAAACAAGAAACAAAAACAAGCCACCCTTTTTCAAAATGTCATTTTGCCTCAAAAGTTTCTTCAATTCTTAGCCTGGAAGAGCAAAATAGTGAAAGTATTACTCATCAAACATAATTATCTTGAAGCTAAGAGCCAAAGGTCTTACTTCCTTTGGAGAAAAATGTTGAATCCAGCCCACTGTCCCCTTTCAGCTCAGAGATGCTTTACTGCTAGAGTGTTTTTTATCTTTTAAATTTTCCTGTGCCTCACTGACGTGTGTATTAGTCCACCCACTTAAATTAGTGTGTTGTTTATGCATTAGCACTTTGGTCAGGACTGAAGGTTCATTCATTCATTCATTCATTCATTCAGAAAGCATTTACTGAGAGCCTAATGTATGGGGGGCCCTCTCATGGGTGCTGGGAATACAAAAATGAGAAAGGGACTCTGAATCTACTCTCAAACACTCACAGTCTAGTTGAGTGAGACAAATAAGCAGGTGATTGTATTACAATATGACATATACTAAACTAGAGCTCTGCCCAGGACATCCAACTAAGGATGGTGCGGGGGATATTCGAGGAAGTTTCTCTAAAGAAATTAACCTTAGTTGAAACCTGGAGCCCAGAAGGGGTTTACATCATCCTCTATTATTTTCTTTATACCATGTATCATTGAAGGTAAATTATCTCTTAAAATTTTGTTTGTTGATATTATTAACCTCTCTCATTTATCATCTTATTAAATAACATTTCTCAAACTTTTTTCATCATTGCTCTCCTAAGAGCCTCTGCGGTAGTCATTTTTTTCTTAATTGCTAACCCCCTCCAACATGATGTTCCCCCCTGCCGTTATGGCAAAGTATACATAATATAAATTCACCATTTTAACCATTTTTAAGTGTACAATTAAATTCACTAGCATTATGGACATTCATATTGTTGTGCAGCCATCACCACTATCCATTTCCAGAACTTTTTTCTAATCTTCCCCATCTGAAACTCTGCACCCACTAAATAGTAACCCTCCATCTTTTCTCCCTACAGTCCCTGGCAACCACTATACTACTTTTTATCTCTGTGAATTAGACTATTCTGGGTACCTCATATAAGTAGGATTGTACAATATTTATTCCTTTTTTTTTTTGATCTGGCTTATTTCATGTAGCATAAAGTTTTCGAGGTTCATCTGTGCTCTAGCACGTATCAGAATTTCATTCCATTTTCATCTGAATATCTCTATGAAATCTAACATGACATATTAAGTCGGTATACGTGCTGTGCACATTTACAGGGCTACCAACCACTGTCATATATAAAACTTGTTCTACCTCCCAGGAACTAATTTTGCTCCCTTGGGGCAACATCACCCTGTCAAGAACACCTGTATTAAAATGTCAGCTTCTTTGTGACCATGTTGGTCTTGCCGTATACTCTCTCTCCAGATATTAGCCCAATACCTAGCACGTAGCTCCCATTTGTGGAATACTTCTCAAACTCCTTCCACAGTCACGCCTTCCATCTTGTTTTAATCCATTATTGTTAAAAATTGCTCTCAGAGTTATCACAGGTATATTTTGACACTTGCTGTCTTATTCTGTCCAGCCAGACCTCCCAACATGCTCATGTCCCCAAGGCTGCATACACCCTTCTCAATGTCCCTGTGTTTGCCCGCTTTCTTAACAGAGGTGAAAGATTATGAGCCGCCGTTTGGTTCCAAGGTGCGGGAGCATCCCTGTGTCGAAAGCATGAAGGACAATGTGTTGCGAGATCGGGGACGACCAGAAATTCCCAGCTCCTGGCTCAACCACCAGGTAAGGAATGATTATATTGAGGGGAGAATAAGAGTCATCTGAGGCAGCCTCTTAGGTAGGAGAGAATTCTGTGCTGTTGGGTTTCTATCTGAGAGCAGGTCCTTTTGTGTTCTGTGATCCTCTTACGTTTCATGTATAAAGAAAATTTCAATAAAGTGGGATGACCCTGTGATTTTAAGTTCCAGCTGGCAGGTAGAGACAACATTCAAAGAGAGCTCACAAATAATCATCTGAAGGATATTTGTCACATTGTCCAAGTCCCCGTGGTTCCGGTTAAAATATTTTGTTTGTGGCCTCTGCCACTCACCTCCTGCCTTTACATAGGGAATTTATGTTTTGTTCCTTTCTGGGTTCCAAATGTTTTCTTCTGGGAATTTTCAGCCCTGGAAGGAAATACTTAGCAGAGAGAAATAAGCAGAGTTTGTCAGCCAGCTGGACCGAGGGGTGACTGCCGTGCACCCTGTGCAGGCTGTACACACAGAGCTGGGAAAGGGGAGGCCAGCGCCTCCGGAATAAAAGAGCAGAGAGGAAAATGCAAATGAACAAACAGGAAATCTGTCCATTGGAACATTTTAGTAGCTTCTTTTTTTTTTTTTTTTCCTTTCAAGAAATGGTGAGTAAGGCCATCCATCGCAGGGCCGTAGTTCTGGACTTATAAGGAGGCCTACCCAAACCCCTGGCCTGGGGGCATTTTGATGAAGGCAGTGGGTCAGAGGGAAAGAACAAAATGATAAGTTGCGAGAGCAAGAGGCCTGTCCGACACACCCAGGAAAGACCCCTGAATGAAATGAGAGGGAGAGCAGGGTGCCCCCGGCTCACTAACCACTGTTCTTCCTACTGTGGAAAACCTTCTGTTGCCTCCTTTGGATGAATCCCCTTATCCCGTGAAGGCTGGGGCTCAGTCACAGGTTTTCCTAAGGGCAAGGCAAATTCGGATAAGAAATAGAGACAGCCAATCAGGAGCAGTCGGGAAGACAGATGGAGCAGGAAGACTGGCTTGTGCTAGTCTTGGCCTAGAGCCACTTCCAAGGACAGAACCTAATAAAGCTGGGGAGAGCATGAACCCAACCGTGGTAGCCCAGGGCCTTCCGGGGGGGTTCGGGCAAAGCCTCTGTGACTGTGACAATACAAGACTGTTTTGTTAGCTCTGAAATCAGAAGGCACGAGTGTTGTTTCTTTCAAACTCAGTTGACTCCTAAGCTGTACATTTCTCGTAATGAAACCATTATTCATGATGATAAAATTCTGGAAAGAATTTACATAATACATTTTTTTCTCTTAATGAGATTTGTTGCCCTATTGATTTCAAGTTAATGCTTAATATTTAATTTAATTTACTGCCTGTAATTACGGTGTCAGAATAAAATAAATGTTACTTGTGTACCAACAATAACACTCCACTCTTAACAGGGCCATCAATCAATACCGTCAATTAGGTGAATTATACAATTAATTCAACATCATGAACTCACTCGCAGCGCGGGAAGGGAGGGAGAGGCTCCTAGGTGTGCTAGGAGAGTTACTAGTATGGGGACAGTGCCGGCTCTCAGGGCAGTGTTGGGATTCATCCATTCCACCCGGGCAACAGTGTGAGGGGTCATCAGTGATAATGTTGAACCTCTAATTGGCAGGAGCGCAATCTGTTTCTGCCTCTAAGCCTATCCGTTTAACTCTTGCACAGTCTGTTTCTGCCTCTAAGCCTATCTGTTTAATTCTTGCCTGCTTTATTTAAAAAAAAAAAAAAAAAAGACTTGAAATGATAAAAATATTTGCAATGCAAAATAAAAATGAAGGCCACGAGAGAAGACCCTTGCCATTGTGCTAGCAGCGTTTCCTGGACAGGTCTTTTGAATGGGGCCATTATGGGGTTTAGATTGAACCCTCCGAAATGGTCTAGAGCCAAGCCGGTCTGGCCAACAGAGTGTTTCATGGGGTCCAGCCTAATGCTGGAGAGGGGCGGGGCATAGCAGCGCATCCTTAGCAGCTGCCACCGACGGACTCGACAGAACATGTGGACTTCACAAATTAAAACCAGACTAATGCCTGGACTTCACTCTGACGCAGATAGTCAACCCCATTAAAATAGAAATGTGTCTATGATTCCAACTGAAATAGTATAAAGGTATGAAATGATATTGGGGGCCACTTTGTGAGGACTTTCAGGTATTGGGGATGCTATTTTACCCCAGAAGCCTACTGGAGGCCCCTTGTACTATCTCTCCATCTCATGACTTACAGTGATCAAATGGCACCAGAGCGAATAGGTACAGCGGGTGTCCAGGGCATTGTGCAGCCCCCTGCACAGCCGCTTTGGTCCGCATGCAGCTGGCCAGCCTCATCCAGTGAGCGCTCAGTCAGAATGTGCTAGAGGCACAGGCTCATTCTCACCTGGCCGGCTCTGCAGGAACAAGGCCAGGCGGCCACCTTGCCCTCCGTGGAGCCCCCTAAGCCAGTGACTCACGTTGCCTGTGACTTCTCTTCCCCTGCAGGGCATCCAGATGGTGTGTGAGACTCTGACCGAGTGCTGGGACCATGACCCTGAGGCCCGCCTCACGGCCCAGTGTGTTGCCGAGCGCTTCAGTGAGCTGGAGCACCTGGACCGACTCTCGGGGAGGAGCTGCTCCGAGGAGAAGATTCCGGAAGACGGCTCGCTGAGCACTACCAAATAGCTCTCCCAGGCCAGACTGGGCCAAGTCCAAAGAGGCCACCCCTGTCGCCAAAGAAGAGAGGCAGCAGGAAGCTGCCCCTAAACCGATGCTTCCTGGAAAACCAGGGGTCACGCCCCTCCCTGTAAACTGTGGGATTGAGCGGAAACAGCAGTGGCAGGGAGTGGGTGACATGAAGCATTCTATGCCTTTGACGTTGTCATAGGATAAGCTGTGTTAGCAGTTCCTCAGGAAATGAGATTGATTTTTACAATAGTCAGTAACATTTGCACTTTATTAATGCCTGTATATAAATATGGAATAGCTATGTTTTATATCTATATCTATATATGTCTATATCTATATATACAGCCATACTCTGGAAAGAGACAAGGAAAAAGATCAAATATTCCCAGGAAATTGGTTTGACTGGAGAGCTCCAGAGCCGAGCTCAGAAGAAGGGATCCATGAAAACATTAGCACTTGACAATCACACGTGAGATGGTTCTCTGACTACACACGAGGGGGAACTTTGCATTAGGAGCGAGCCTCCATGTCTCAGAGACTGCTACGGCCACGTTGCATTCGCTTTCGCAAAATAATAGTTCCCTGCGTGTGGGTCTTCTTCCGGCCACGGAGCTATTTATAGTCACCCTGTTTGGGGACCAGACCCTGCAGTTCCTGTGTGCCATTGTTTCTCCTGGACTGTTCACCTGAGCTTCAAGCCCCACATCTGGTTTGTGAACCACTTTCTTCCACTCGCTCAGAGACTTTGCTCCATGTCTAATAGTTTCTATGTTTTGAGCCCTGTTTTTACCTTAACAGGCTGCAGAATATTCAGGACAAATTTCCTCATCCATGAAATGGCCATACCTTCTACTAATAAAATATATGTATTATGTAATAAAAGTATATATATATAT